TTTAATTATTTTTATAGTTTGATATTTCATTGATTAAGTATAGCTAATGTGAATGATTTTATTGACGGATTTTGCTGGAAAAACTATCATGTTTACATTTCTTTATTTTTTTAATACATTAAGTTTATAATTTTAATATGTACTTAACATGTGTTTGGATTCAGATTCAGATTCTTTATTCGTCACAATACATTTTCCTCCCCAGCACAGCTGGTAAAACAGGTGACATGTCAACATCTTAAAAACTAAAAGCAAAATATATACATGATACAATTATTCGGCTTACTTGAAAAACTTAATCGAATGCCTTAATTTTATATACATTAACATATTTACATAATATTACAAAGTGTCATATAAAAAATCATTTATACAATAGTATACTTTGTTTAGCAGCAGAGACTGAACTTCTTTCTTAAACTTAAGATCATTATCAATATTCTTTATCCTGTTTGGTAGCTTATTATATAATTTTTTCCCAAAATACTGAGGCAACTTTTCAAAGGAACTTAATCTATGAATAGGAAACTGGAAATCATTTCTATTCCTAGTCTGATAATTGTGAATATGTTGATCTTCCATCAACATATTAAAATTAGATTTGACATAAAACAGACATTTACTAATGTACATAGATGGTAGTGTTAACATTTTGAGTTCCCTAAAAATAGATTTACAGGATGTTCAAGGTTTAGAATTTGTCATGATTCTAAGATATTTTTTTTGTAATTTAAAAACAGACCCCATACCCGAACTACCTCCCCAAAGTTCAACACCATACTGCATTGATGAAGCGAACAATGCATGATATACAATCAATCTCGTCTGTAAGTCAGTATTTTTTTGCTGAACAAACATTTGAAACAAAGAGAATTCAATTTTTTGAGCAAAATATCAATATATGTTTTCCAGTTTAGTTTTTCATCAACCTCGAGACCCAAGAACTTTGTTGACTTTACAATAGGAAGGTGATCATCATTTAATATTATTTTATTAAGATTTTGTTCCTGTCTTTGCGTAGTGCTAAAATTGATTACATTAGTTTTGCTACTATTTAATTTAAGACCATTGGCCTTGAACCACACTTGCAAATCTGTGAGGGAATTCTGAATAATTTGCTGTAAATCTAAAATGTTGTTTGATTTAAGAATGGCTGTAGCATCATCTGCATACAGAACAATTTTGAAATCAAAATTTTGTGCTAAATCGTTTATATAGATTAAAAACAGAATAGGACCAAGAATTGAGCCCTGGGGCACGCCCCGTGTTCCTTTCCTCCACTCAGATTTAAAAACCATATCATTTTTTTTAATAACAGTTCTGTGGTGTCTACCAGATAGGTAACACTTAACCCAAGATAATGCGGAAGAAGCAAAGTTGTAAACTTTTAACTTATCAAGAAGAATATCATGTACCACACAGTCAAAAGCCTTGGATAGATCGCAGAAAACACCAGCTGTGGTCTGCGATCCATCCAAGCCCTCCGATACACATCTGATTAAATCTGCTATGGCTAAAACTGTGCTCTTATTTTCTCTAAATCCATATTGTTCCTTGATAAATAAATTATTGTCTTCAAAAAATGATAAGATTTGTTTATTAGCTATTTTTTCAAAAACCTTTGAAAATGTAGGAAGCAGTGACACCGGCCGATAATTGTCAATATCCAATTTACTTCCTTTTTTAAACAGTGGTTTTATTTCTGCATATTTAATTTGGTAAGGTAATGTTCCAGAAATGAGTGACTGATTTATAATATTTGTTAATGGTTTTGAAACTTGATTGGCAACCCTTTTCAATAAAAACAAAGGAACCTCATCCCATCCTGAAGATCGCTTGTTCTTCAATGATTTGATTATTTTATTAACATGATTTTCCTCTACTGGACTGAAGTGAAAAACTGGTAAACTTTGACTCCACTCATTTTTTTTTCATTGCAAATCTAACTGCCATTTCCCTTGATGGTAAAATCTCATTCTCTAAACAAATATCAGTAAATTTATTGTTAAAAGTATCAGCTATTTTATTACCATCTTTTAAACACTTATTTTGGAAAACAATGTCTGAAAAGCTATTTTCTTGAGTTGCCATTAAACCTAATTCCCCATTAACAACTGACCAAACTGCCTTGCTTTTATTGTCTGCTTTCTCTATAAAAGAGGTGTTTGCATTTCTTTTTGCCCTAGAACAGACAATTTCAATTTCAATATTTGTCATTAGAGCCGAAGCCCCCTGACTACATACCCGGTACCTATCGTGAGACTTACCCGGGCCCCATGATGTAGGCCGAAGCTTACGCATCAACCTTTTGCACATCATGGGCGGATGACTTAAGGTCATCAGGCTCACCGGCTGCCGAAGCAGACCCTTCGGAAAGAGGGTTGCCCCTCAATCCTAACCAGGGTTTCCGGCTACTTGTTTAAGCGTCACTCCACCTGGGTTCCACTAGGTCGGGACCTAGAACAGACAGCTTTGAAATTTTAGATTAGGGCATACACATTAAAAACTAAAAGTTTTTTTCTTTTTTTTAACAAAGAGATAGTTGTAAATGTTTGCCAATTCAAGAGAAGTAATGTTCACACCATTTGCTTTTTCATATATTTTGAATTCATAATTTTAGATTACAATCCATACTTGGGTTTGAGTAAACTAGCATCTAGTAAACACACAGCCTGTGACCAGAACCTCGTCTAGCCTGTGAACAAAACTATGCACTGGCCTGTGACCAGATCCACCCCCAGCCAACCTGTGACCAAAACCTTGCCTAGCCTGTGAACAAAACTATGCACTGGCCTGTGACCAGATCCACCCCCAGCCAACCTGTGACCAAAACCTTGCCTAGCCTGTGAACAAAACTATGCACTGGCCTGTGACCAGATCCACCCCCAGCCAACCTGTGACCAAAACCTTGCCTAGCCTGTGAACAAAACTATGCACTGGCCTGTGACCAGATCCACCCCCAGCCTGTGACAAAACCTTGCCTATCCTGTAACCTGTGGTGGTATTTTATTTGTCATCGTAATTATTATGAGCTATGATTGTTAAGATTGATTTAAAAGTAAATCTGGTGAACTGACTAAAGGACAGGCCCGGTCTGGCCAGGGCGGCTGGTCGGCGATCCCCGAGGGCCTCCGGTTCAAGGGGGCCTCCAAAAGCCAAAAAATCAATTAAAAAAAATTTAGTTATAATAAAAAAATATTTTGTTTAACTGTTTCACAGCGACGTAGTCTTGCAATAACAATTTTTAATAAACAATACTCTTTTTTTATTGAATGGGTAGCCCCTAAGTACAGTGATAGTCACTCGGTACTAGAGGATAGTCACCGATCTCACTGCAACGCACCGTTCGAATCAGCTCAGTGCCCAGCGCTCCGCAGTAGTGACGAGACATTGCCGTGTCGGCGCGTCTGCGCCCTTAAGAAACACCTGTCTGGTGTTTGCCTGTCTGGTGTCTGTACTCAAGCAGACAGCTTAGCGCTTGTACTAGTATAGTGATGGGACAACCGACTGGAAAAAAACTATCGACTAGTCAATTTGTCAATCGGTTGTTTTTAAAACCAGTGGTTTTTTTCAGTCGAATGAAAAACCGAGAGAATTCCACTACAACAACAACTGGTGGCGTTCAATCGGTGCAGTGGTTTCAGTCATTGCAAAGAAACATTATCGAATATAATTTTACTTTAAACATTGGAGTTTTCCCGCTTGATTCCTATTGTTTGTTGTCATTTGCATTTATATTTTATTACTTTGGTATAAAACGTAATAGAATGACAACATTTACAATTAATTAAAAAATTTTAGTTTATTACATGACTGCAAGATTTAAATTATTCAGTAGGACTAATGTCTCTAACTCAGTATAACAAATATTACTATTTATTTGTTACCTGGTTTTTAAAACAGATTTTACTACAGGCATTAAAATCTAAATCATCAGTAGCCTATATAAAACCCAGTGTCTTGGCAATTTTATATTTTTTTAAACAACAAAAATAAATGCAATTACATTTTATGTATCATCCCTAAAAACTGTTCCCAATTCCTATCCGTCAGTTTATCTACAACTGATTTTATTCGACCAGTCAGCCTCATCTCAACACCAAAAGGTCGAGTATGGTGTTACGACTAGTTTAATCACCGACGACTGTTTCCAGTCATTCCTACGTAGTGGGTTATGACGTATTGTTTGAAAGATTACTAACACATGAATCGTTCAGTTTATAAAATGAAACGTGTGCACCCAAGTGGCGCAAGTAAAATAAAAATGGATAGGAAATATTTCAAAATAAAACAAATTAAAGTCAAACTGTTTGAACTTATGGTTAGCAGGTTAGCTGGTTTCAGTTCCGATTCTGCTAACAATGAGAAGTCGCAAACAGGCAGGCGGAAATCATCAGAAGTTTTTTGTAAGCCTTACAACGTTTAAATTAAAATACATTTGATTATTTCTGTTTGTCTTTGTTGCTGAAGTACAACTATGGAGTAAAGTGTGTGATAAACAGTAAATGTGGTCCATTCATAGATGTATTCAAAATTCAAAAGTGGTACGTTATATGCTTTTTTACCATGTATGGCAAAAACTCCAAGAACTAGGTTTTGCTCTTATTTTTAAATTGGAGATTTAAAACAATTTTAAGAATAGGCCTTTTAAATTTTATGGCAGCTGTAGAGGTGAATAGAAATACGAGCAAATTTTATATCAAATTTAAATAGATTGATACCTTGGAATTAAATTTATAAATACAAAGATTTTAATTTATGGAAATTTAGCAATTATTAATTTAATCAAAATTATCAAAAACTTTTAATCATTTAAAACCACCTTAGGCCCCTTTTATGCACCTGCGGCATGCAGCAAACATATATGCTAACTAATTGTTGCCGTGAGAGCACCCCATGGTCCTTGTTTTATTTCTGGCTGGGGGTCTTAAATCAACATCTATCCGAGGGCCTCCAATGGAGCCAGACCGGGCCTGCTAAAGGATGAAATAAAATCAAGATTAGTTTTTAAAAATAAGTTTATTTAGATATTTTACAGTACTATCACAATATTGGATCACCACTACTATTAACAATATTAATATTAATGGGAAAATATAACATATTTGGTCACAACAGCATGGAATTATGACAAATTTGTTGCTCAAATAGTTTCACGAGTAATTATACACAAGTATTATATTGTTTCTGTTATATTTTTCTTTTATAAATACTTGATAAAAATACAATCACTAGTTTTAGTTTTGCTTATCAAATTAAAATATATTTTTGATCTTGTATATAATGTAATAGCTCTATCTATATTTTACATAAACAAATTGAAACAATTACTAAGGAATAAAGCTTAAAGTTTGTTTATAGACAAAAGTTCCGTTCCATCATAACAATAACAACATTGATGAAATGAGTGGCAGCTTTTAAACTGAATGAGTGAATGATACTGCATGAGATAAATAAAATAAACTGTACACAGGGAAATGAAGCATAAAATCCCATACTAGGGAAACTAGTCTTTGATAAAATGCTTGTATATGTCTTAAAGACTCTACTATTTCTATTTCTAATAAATAATTAAGAGCAAATAATCTTTTTACTGTACCTACTAATATAAATTTGAGCAAAATGACAACTAGTGAAAAATAACATGTTTTGTTCACAATACATAAAAAAATACAAAGCATCCCTGATAAATATAAATCATTTAGCACTTGAGTCACATTATCAAAAAAATGGTCAGTAGTTCTCAGTTAACAAGTTAAAGAGCTATGACCAACTGTAGTATTGTGCATTTTAGAACAGCAAACAAGTTGAAAATGTTGTTCCAATGGGTTCTATTTCTATATGGCATGGAAATAGAGATTTCTAAAGTGATTGTTGTTTAAGTTATCTCTCAACAACCAAGTTATTTCTTACATTTAGAGTAAAAGACAAATTGAGGCATCATTGCTTATAATTCAAATTTAATCAGAACAGGAATTTAACCTGATAAACGGTTACAATACCTTACTTCGCCTTGTGATCATGCAGTTATCTATAACCGGTTGCACAGGATTACGAGGTTGAGTAACGAGTAAAGTATTTTTTTTTAAACAATTTCTATCATTTTTACCGCGATCTAGATAAATAAGACAGCCATGTAATCACAAAAGATTCAACCATAGCATTTCAAGGGCACACACAATGTTCCAAAGCTAAATGAGTGTTTGCTTGTCAACTGTTAGAGACTAGTTTTGTTGCGACGGGTGACAGCGATGGTAGCGATGATGAAGATGGCTGTCCACACTGACGTAGAGAGGAAGCCTTTGTATATGACAGGGTGTGTGACAGGCCAGCCTCGCATGACTAGACCACGATATGCTTCTACTGCGGGCTGCACAGGAAACATCCAGATGACGCTGCGTAGTGCTGCGTGCATTCCTTCTACTGGCCATGTCATCCCTGCGGAAACAGAAGGTGTGAGAATGTAAAGGCTGCGTGGTGGTAATAGTGCTCCTCTAGTAATTAGAATCTTGTCAGTTAGACCCTGAAAACGTCTGTAGATTTTTTGTTCCACCTAACACTGATATTCAACTTAGATAAAGGAACCAAGTGCGCATTGCTGTCTCAATGTTTTGATAATTTTGATTTGTTGGAATTTACCAGTCATGGATTAAAACTACTTCCTTCCAATTAAGTAGTCTTAATTAGTAGCTCGAGCTCTAAATCTTGGTGCAAAATCATATGTATGATCACGCTTTCTTGTCGCTAATCATCGGCTAAAACATCTTAAAATACACCTTATTAGATTTTTTTACCGCTTTAAGTTTGCATACAGTGATGTTGAACATTTTACCTGCCACCATGAAGAGGAAATTGACTGCCCCTACTCCTGCATTTGTGGCATCTCGTTCACTTGTAAATCCCAGGCCTAAAAACAAACCTGGAACAAAATTGTAATGCAAGTTCAATAATAATATCAGATAATCCCAAATATTAGCTATTTGCTATATAGTTTTTGTATCATTTTCAGAGAAATAAACAAATTTACTATAATATAAATAATCATAAACACATTGCATATCGGTCGTCACACTTACACACTGTTTGTAGATCTTGTGTCACTAGGTAGTGAATGTGAAGATACTTTATTTTTAAAATTATATGAATTTCATTACAATAATCAGTTTGATTGCACCTTTGTACTTTGTATTGCTTTTAGTTTTACTTTACATCGTGTCTTTCTACAAAGATATCTTACCAAAGAAGAGCCCCATGACTTGTAGCATCATAACGAGGAAGAAAATAATCCATACTCCACTTCGGCATTCATACTCGTAAACATAGTAAAACACTCCCAGCACTAACGTCTGTTGACAAGCAGCGATCAGAAGTTGTACGATTGAGTGAGCAGCTACTACCTCTATCTTGGTCATACCTAGAACATCAATGTGTCATCAGGTTCAAGGAGCAAAATACTGCTTATTAGAAATATCTGTTATACTGATATAACAATAAAAGCTCAACTTTGCGGATTTTGACAGCAGTTTAAAATACCCCCGCCGCAGCAAACCTGCAGACTAAGCGAATTTCCATTTCCCTGAATGGATTTACACTAAAATGTCTCCTTAAAAATATCACATTTATTCCCTATTTAAATAGAATCAGTTTAAAACATACTTAGGTTTGCTGCAACAGGGAGGGTAAAAGTGTTTTTTATGTAAAATGTTAATAGTTAGTTATAAATAAAAACATTTTCCAAATTTGGGCCAAATATGTTTATAAACAAGCAAACTACAACAGTTTACTTATTCTCCATAAGAATAACATGGGAATTTTAAATTTACAATTTTTTGGAATTTTCTCCGTAACCATTAGGCGCATTATAACGCTTCAATATACTAAATTGTTTGTTTTTTAAGCTCTACAAAATAGTTTCAAAAGAAATTGCAAAATTTTATGTTTTTTGGGTCAAAAATGGGAAAAACCCATTTTTACCCCATAAAAGCCCCCATAAACCCCCGTTCCCATGGTCCGATCATGCTGGTTCGCGAACTCGTTCGAATAAACGTAGGTTTACACGTTTGTACCAAATTTCATCAAAATCGGATCATTTTTGCTCGAGTTATCGCGCTAACGGACACATATATATATATAAATATATATATATATATATATATGAATTTGAACGGATGGTGTTTTTGACCTCTAGGGACCTCAAAACGAAAAAAAAAATCGGTCCCGGGTCCAGGTCTTACCGTGAGTACTACGGTAATAGCTTATTCCCTATATGGGAAATTCGCTAAAATTACAGCTAAAGTAATGGACACACATAACTTTGCTGTTGTGTAGCCCAGTTTATAGTGCGTCTGTATATTACTGGCTTTATAAATCCAGAGTTGAAAAATTTCAAAGATAAAAATATTCATGTAAAAAATACAAAATGACGAATACCTATCTGATTAATGAAGCGATTTTGGAAATATGTTATTGTTGATTTTCTCTTTATTTTGACTCAAGGAATCTCTACGTAAATTATGTTCCCACCTTTTTTGAACACCCTGTATTACATTCTTCATATTATTATATGGACAACATATATATTTCGTTAATTTTTTTGACTTAAAAATAACAGAATGTGCATTATGCTTAATAATTAGCAAAAGTTTTTGTTAGGACTATGATGTCATTCTTGCTTATTATGGAATATTTGAGCTTAAAAGTTAATTTGAAGAAATAAAATGTCTTGTGTGCTCACCTGCTACCATACTTCTTTCAAGGCCAACAGTCTTCTCAAACATGATGGCTCCAGTGGTATACATGATGGAGAGGTAGAAAGCAAATCTGTAACATTTGCATAGTTTAAATTAGTTACAGAGCTTCTAAAACACACCTTATATTTTAAAATCATAGAAAACTGCATTCTTATTGTAGAAATCAAAATATTTAAAAACATTTACTGAGAAAACTAATTGACTTTTCCTGATCTTAGATGTTATTTGTGATATCTTTAAGAATTGTTCAGTGCTGATCCCATTTGACAATTTTCAATGATTTTATTTATAGCTTAAACTGGAGGTAATTTTGTAACTTGTTCACAATAGAGTGTCATATTTTTTATCATATGCATAGTTAACACATTTGACAAAATTTGAAACACTTTACTAGAGTTTAAAACAGTATGATTATGTAAACTTACGTGCATACTACACCGGGAATGAAGAACTCAATAAATGTAGGATTTGGTGTGCCATATATTGGTGTCTTGAACTGGAAAAATCATATCAACTGTTTCAATTTTTCAAATAAACCATGGATTGTATAAATGTATTACTAAAATTCAGAAATAAATAATGTAAGAGTCATACACGTCATCATAAACACCTTTCTGAAAGGATAAAAACACCTGCCTCGTTTATTTATTTTTAACATATATTCTATGTGATCAGTGATCAATACAGAATGCATCAAGAATTGTTTACAATTTTGTGATCTACTGAGTTTTCCAAATGTACAGAAATACTGGCAATGCTTAACCATTAGCCTATATATTCTACATTATAATATGAATATGAGTAGTACAGGTATCTTGTTTGTTGGTTGTCTTTTAAAAAAATCACAAAAATTTAAGTATTAAGTTTTGTGTAACAAATACGAGGCATGTTTTTTAAGTAAGTACCGTTTTTAAATTTCTCCGTTTCAGCGCTGTGATGGGCATTTTTGACATTTGTACTAAGTATGTGCATCTATAGCAAGCCTGCGCCTGAAGTGTTTAGTGAAGTGTTTGGTAAGAACATTGTGAGTGAACGCAAGTGGGTAAGGGCATTTAAAGACGGCCGCACCAACGTTCATGATGAGTACGGTAACACACTGGGCGGCTGCCGGCCATCTGTCATTATAACTGATGAATTGGTACGTAATTGCTCATCATGAACGTTGGTGCGGCCGTCTTTAAATGCCCTTACCCACTTGCGTACCATTCGGTCACTCATAAAGTTCTTGCCATACACTTCACTTATCTGTCGATGAATTTCAATGGCTTTCACACCCTTTAGCATTTAAAAATCTAATTACAGCATGCACTTCACAGTCGGCGGTAATCTCAATTGGCGACACCATTTTGAATGCTCGAAACCGATTGTAAACACTGCCGATTGTTGCCGAATTTCTGGTGCAGGCTTGCAAGTAGGTGCACATACACAGCACAAATGTCAAAAATTCCAACCGCAGCGCTGGAACGGAGAAATTTAAAAACGGTACTTAGTTAAAAAACATACCTTGTACTATACTACCACAAATGAATTAATAAATTGGTTAAAAAACTTAAGAACTGTTTCTTGACAAAATAATGTCAGACGATTGTTTCGAAAGTTTCCAAATTAAAATAGGTGAGTTTGTGGCTCAATTGGTAGCGCTATACCAGCTCTTGGGTTTGTGGCTTGCACACTATACTCTCTCACCCCTTCCTTTGCTTGATAAGTTCTTCCAAATACAAGCTCAAGGCCCTTCTGAATGGGCAAATGTAAGGTTAAATAGAGGATACCAACCTCTTAAAAAAAGGACTAACTCGGCTCCGTACCTGTACTGGAATGTCCATCACCTTAGGGTCGATATCACAGTCTTGTAGCAGTCCCTTGATCATGCGACTCACATCTTCCAGGACCTCCTTTCTAAGGAAACTACTCACCCACATATCTGTAGGATCAAACACACAAACACTGTAGAACTGCTCCCTGAGGTAGAGAATTTGATCTGAATCACATTATCTGTCATCTTAAATCAAAAGTTTTTGATGGATCCAAACTGAAACAAGTTGTTCTTGATCATTGAGCTTTTAATAAACGGTCCTGACTAAAGAAACATCCGACCTTGATTTTAAAAAGCCACACAGATCATCCACTTCATTCTACATTCATCCTTTATTCTGTTTGGGAGGAAAAAACCCAGCTACATCCCAATCTTATACAGTACCTAATGACAGTTACTTTTTGTCTGCCCGGAAAATTAGATACGGATTGAACAAATTACAAAGGTGTTTGAAGCAATGTCTAGCAATTTTGGAAGAATAGAAAGTAGAAGCTCAAAATTAGGTGAGTCTCAGCAAGAAGTATATCTATGATCTGTAAGATAACATTGTTTAAATGTAAAATAACCCTTAATTTACTGGGTTTTGAGTGATTAGAGAGCTCTTAAAATTTATTATAAGCTAGATTAATCTGTGAAGGTTCAATTCTGGTCCCATATTTTCCTTTTGTCACTGGTTATTTACAAACAATACTATCTAAACTTGAGTTGACACTACACAGTAACAAGAACTGTACACATTTGGACCATTTCAACAAAAGTTTAAAAAGAAAAATTTTGTTAGAAATATATCAACATCAACATTAACCAATGAACTCACTAATGTCCATGTGCACTGCTCAATGTCCATGTGAGCAGTGATAAAGCTAGACTCCACAATGTCATTTGGAGTGCTGAACAAGTCTGTCCTCATCCGCTGCAGAGAAGATGAGGTGTAGTTGCGGCTGAACGACAAAACTCCCCAGTTTTCATTCTTCAAAGCAGCAGCCTTCGCTGTGTCGAAGTCGGGGTACAATATCTGTGCAATACACCAGAATATCCATGTAGCCAACTCAGCAAAACATTGAGTTACTCCTAATGATCTTTTCCCTTACTGAGGAATATAGTATCCAAGCAATTGTTGATGTAATTTGTTAGTGGTACCAGTAAACTACACTTGGATCTAATGGCGGCCCTTGGTGCTATTCTGAGAAAAGTCAGATGATTTTTTTATGGTTTGAAATTGGACACAGCTGTCTTTGTCTAGCTTTTGATAAATATCCCTAGAAAAAACCAGCTGATCTTGGTTGAAAATCTATCTTCACTCTAAAATAATTCACCGGACTTCGGTACACCAGGTTTAAATCCTGCCAAATCACAACTGAATTTTACGTAAGGGATAATGCTGCAACCCCTGGGTCTAGTCTGAAGCAATGTGGAAAACCGAGCTGGAGCCTAGCGCCCTAGGACAAAAAAAAATTATTCTATGATTTCTTTCATTGTCATCAATGCCATAATAGTATACACCTTGGTATATCAGTGTCATATAAACAAAATCTAAAAGCTAATTAATTCTAAAGGCTCAAACCCAGTAACGCCCAGCTCTGCTCATAGTGCCATAGTATAACGTTAGCTTCTTAGTAAAACAGAGGGTAAATCATTCATCAGGAAGAGCCATTAAAGGGCAATCAATTCCCCTGTGATTCATAGTGTGAAACGCTGCACCACAACTACATCATATGTCTATATCTGTCATTCTTTATTTAACTTTTCAAAAATCACAATCATCAATCTTAATAAATACAAAATGAATTGAACACTATCAAGGGTACTGATTGCATAGGTTTTGATTACTCACAGTGTGTAAAGTTGCGTTGTGTAAGTAGTCGAGGAAGAGACAAGTGAACGGTCGATCGTAGCTGTCGCATCCAGTGTATGTGAGATTACTACACGTGTCCATACCATCCGGTAACTCTTGGGACACAATGCCCAGAGTCCGGTATCTTCCGGGATTGTGACTCAGGATCATGTGGCACATTAGCGCAATTATTCCCGGAAGCACCAGGAACAACAGAGTACCACTGGAATGACATACAAGATGCAATGAATAAATCAAATCAAATCAAATAATGGAATGTTTATATTGATATACACTAGATGTAAAATATCTTGAAGTATGGAAAGCATAGAGTTAAAACAGTTGTAGTGGATTGTAGTTGATCAAGAATAATAACTATGGCTTGCATCACATCTATTTTCTTAGCTCATGTGAATGCATATATCTTACCTCAGCAGAAGAGTAGGCCATAGATTAAGATATTTTTCAGCATGATATCTACAAAAAGTAGTCTTTTGTTCACTTAATTTCTGTCAAAGCCTGTTCACAACCTCCAATAATATTGGAAAATTTATCGATTTTATGTTCCATAGTTATCGAAAACTGAGAAAAGTCAACGCTGGTAGCATTTATGGTTATTAGAAACTGGACATCAACATCCTTGATCATATATTTTGCTTTTAAATTAATGCCGCGGCTGAATATGGAGCTGGTCTTAGACTACAACAATGGATACATGAGGCATATCACATCCTACTCCATTTATCTGCCTTTCATATTTGGAATTAGGATTTCAATATGCCTAGTTGTGTTCTCATATTAAATAAAGAGAGATAGTAGAAAATATTAGGTTAATAACTTGATAACTGTTGGAGTTATACAATACAATGAACACGAATAATTAAAATTAATAATGCATGCATAAACATACAATTAACTTTTTCATATTGAGAGGAAAACCTCAATGTATACTTTAGTACAATTAATAATGTAAAAGATTGATTATATTCAATAAATATTTTTTCATTCCAATCATAGCTAGGTGATAACCTGATTATACATTTCATATTTACTATTTACTATATTATTTTCATCAATACTCACCTAAATTGATTTGTCATCCAACGGAAATTTTTGTTTAGTTGAGCCACAAAACGGTTAGTTTTCCAGTAAGGACAAGAGTCGACCAAAGCTGGTTTGATTTTCTTTTCAGTTTCTGGATACGCCAACTCCTGGAAACAATAGAAATTAATACAAAACAAGTCTCCTACGATAGCTGGAGATTCACAAATGTAGCATTATTATAATACCAGTATTGAGCATTACAATCGTTAAATATTAGAGAGAATGGTTCAGAAAAAAATTAATTACTCTTTTTATCACTCTTGCTGCTTAAATTAAGTCCAAAGAAATGCTTTAATTTATACTGTATGCAAATATGTCAATGTCGATACATACTGCAATACATTCTTGCAAATAACTTACAAAAAAGATGAACCTACATATGGAACTATTTTTTATTCATACCTTCTTATTTTCTATTTTCTTCTTATTTTCATGACAAAGATGCTTTTTTCACTGTAATTTGGTGAGCTTGATATTAAAATAGTCAATTTTTATCATTTGGCAATTGTTTATTTAACTGATTCGGACACAAGAAAGTAAAGCGTATTTAAGGTGAGAAATCCTTCTAATTTTTTTAGCGATTAATTATATAACAAATCTATGTTCTAATAATGGCCTCCTTCATGGTCTACCAAAAAATATGTAACACATCTATTGTTCAAAATTAATAGTTTAAATTATTTTGCTAATAAAACTCATGTCCTTTTCATTCAATTTATTTTGAAACCAATAAACCAGCTGATCGATGTTAATATTAAATTATAATGAATCATTGCTATATGGATACTAAATTTGCATTCAGCTTACTAAAAGATACTATAATAAGAAAACTATTTAACATTTCTCCCAGGGGGGGTTTCCAGGTCATCAGCTTCACCAGTCTACACCTCTCCCAGGGGGGCTTCTCAGGCCTAGGCCGGTCTCGACCATCTAATGATTCAGTTGTAGGTGGTTTATCTACCGGCTCATCAGTTTCGGATGCCTTAGTGAGCGGAGTTTCATCCACTGGCTGTTTTTCAACCAATACTTCTTCTTTTTTGGATTGACCGTCATATTGTGGTGAATCAGTTTTGGTTTGATCTTGAATTGCCGATAGTACTTCATCATTCTTGATCTCTTTTTCAATCTGAACTGCTGCAGAGGTTTCTTCTCCTTGGACAAGTACTTCGTTAATGTTAGGCTGTTCTTGTTCCAGTTTTTTACCATTTTCAGACTGTACTTCTACCTTATCAACCACTTCAACCTGCTCCACTGTTGGCTGTTCACTTGGTAAATCTTCAACTATCACTTCATTTGGTAACACGTTAGCATTTGATTCCACATTCAATTCTAGTGTCTCATTGGACTGACCCTCAGTTTTCTCATTTAAAGATTCCTTGACATGAGACATACTATCCTCTGTTCCGATTTCCTTTTCATAGGTCTTTTCTGTGTCATTAACCGTATTTTGTTGGACAGGTTGCTCGGTGTAGACATCAGGGCTAGTTGTATTTTCTGTGTGTTGTTGATCACCTTCAATTGCTGAATCTGATTCGTTGACTATTGGCCCAGATTTACCAACCTCTGGCCCATCAGACAGAATATTGCTACTAGCATCTGATATTGTTGATGGAGGTTCTATATCATCAACCTTGGCATCCACTTTTAAAGTATCTAATTTCATTTCACTTGCACTTTTCGTTGACTCTTTAGCAGGTTTTTCCAACAACGGGTCATCTTTTGGAGTATTTTTATGAGAATCTTGTACATCGTCTGGTTTTAGGTGTATAGATCCATTATCAACAATATCTTTGAATGTGGGTGTGTCTGATGAAATTTTAGGTAATGTGTCCATAGTTTCTCCCTCATGCTGGAGGGCCTCTTCCAGTTTATTTTCAACATTGTTAAATCTCTTCAATGCAACGGAACGACTTTCTGGTAACCATGGTTTGTCTTCTTTCCATAACAAACCAGTTTGCCAACAACCATCTTCTGTTTGTGAACAGGTATTTTCCAATATTTTTTCTGCTCTAACTTCTTCATCACTTTTATTGGATTCCTTAATCGGACAGTCGATAAAATCCCTCTCAAAACTTTCTTTAACTAGTGAGTTAAGCTCCAACATATCTGAATTTGTTTCATGTTTAAACATAACAAAGTCGTTGTCTATACGAGTTTGATAGTTTACATTTCCAGTAGGACCATTTATTGTCCAACCTAGTTTCGACTTCAAAGCAATCGGTGCATTTGTAGGTCCAATGATTACTTTCAGAGGCACTGTCAAATGTACATGTTCATGTCCAATCAGTAGTCGTGGACGACCTAGCTGAAACACTTCTTCAGGGATTTCCTGTAAATAAGACCATTTATTTTTCATTTGTTCTGAATTCATAGACTGTATTGGTAACTGCAAGGCTGTCAAAGTCTTCACGTTGTTTAGAGTCAAGTGTTCGCCTGTATCTCCTATAACTGTCAGTGTTACAGTCTGAGATTCTTTTTCTGTATAAACAGATCCATCTGTCCAGGAGAAAGATACAGGTTTAGTAGGTCCATCAATTTCGAGTTCTTCAACCAATCCCTTTTCGATGACAGAAATAGTTGAACCGTCATCAATTAAAGCAAATGTTTCAATTTGCTTGCCATTTTTTCCTACCAATGTTACCGAGAGAACCCTCAACAACACTCTTGCAACAGGTTCTTCTTGAAACCCCATATGTTCACTGTGAATTTCCAATTTAGGTGTCTCTTTATTAGCACCTTCTTCTTTTGAGGTCACGTGTAACAGTTTATTATGGAAATAGGTGCAGCCATTAACTCCACAAACAAGTTTGTTACGACAAGTCATCGCTCGGTGTTTAGTCTTCAAGCAATTGAAACACAGACTGTTACTCTTGACTGTCTCCCATCTTTTATTTACATCATACTTTAGGAATTGCTTGCATTCTGTCAATGTATGGTCTTGTTTTTTGCAGCAAACACATATACGTTTTTTAAACTTCTTGTCACCTTCATGTTGTACTAATACAAAGTTCTTGGAGTTTGATTCATTTCTTGATGACATGTTTTTAAAGTTTCCACTAGTAGATGTACTGGGAGTACATATAATTGCTGCATCCGCCACAGAAGAGAGCCACGTCGAAAAGCTGTCGAGGCCAATTGGTTGTTTCAATTGAGACTGTGGTGAAGTGACAAACATTCCCCAGTTGAGCTTCATGTTGGTGGACAGTTTTTCTGTGAGCTCTTCCATAAGTTGTGGGTTAAACAAGTAGTGGTCCTGCTTCAAGGATTTTACCGTAACTACTAAGTTCCTTACCATGTCACTAAAAGCAACCAAAGTGTCAGGCTTGTAGTCCTTAGTTGGTGGTCGACCTTTCACGCTTGCGATGAGATTTTTAATAATTATATCTGGTCTTCCGAAACGCCGTTCCAACAAATTAACAATTTCTGGTACGTTCTCAGGATATATCAACAGTGCTGATATAATTTCTTTAGCTTTTCCAGTAATACACTTCTGAAGTCTTTGAAGATTCTCCAAATCAGTGTAGTCATTAATTTCAGTAGATCGCCTGTATTCAGCTATCCAAGCGGGCCATTGGTCTAGATCTCCGCTGAAATTAGGTAGAGCTGACAATATTCTCGCCGGCATCTTCTCTCTAAATATCATTTTATCAGGTTGACAATCTCGAGGGAAACACGAAACATCTCGAGGAATTCTCCTTCCTTCGCTGAAAGCTACAGTCCTTGCTTCTCGAGGATCTTCACAGTTTTCTTCTCGAGGCTGGAAACTAGACTGTACTTCGTGATGCGGCAAGGATACCTCCTGCTGTACACTCTTCATAATATTTACTGGAACATTAGTACAAGGCTTCAAAACGTTATTTTTATTAATGTCTTCAGCTTGATCCTTTGTCTGCATCCACTTTTCAACAGCTTCCTTTGTGGGCAACGGTCGTGGAAGAGAAGAAATTGAAGTCCTAGATGATCTGCTACTGACTCTTGACGATTCCCTGCTAAGCGATGACAGTCTGTCTTCAAGTAGCTTCTTCTTCATTTCTATTTCCTTCCGTTTGGCTTCTTCCTCCACTCGGGCAAGTCTTTCATCAGCTGCTGCTATTTTTACTGCTGCCTCTGCCTCTGCTTCAGCTGCTGCTATTTTTACTGCTGCCTCTGCCTCTGCTTTCTCCGCCGCCGCCTTTGCTTTAGCACATGATACAACAAGGGACGTTTCTTCTTCCTGTATCTTAATCAATTCGTCCATAACCTCTAAAACACTTTCATTCCTACTCCTACTTGAGCTAGTTTTATGAGATCTTACCGACAAAGGAATATGCTTATCACTTACTGCCTCATTATTTTTACCATCAAAATCCTGAGATTTTATAGCAGACTTCTTGACTTTGGACCTTGTAAATGCTCCAGTAGTCGACATTTAGTTGATTCGCAAAAGTTTCGGCACCAATGTTCAAAATTAATAGTTTAAATTATTTTGCTAATAAAACTCATGTCCTTTTCATTCAATTTATTTTGAAACCAATAAACCAGCTGATCGATGTTAATATTAAATTATAATGAATCATTGCTATATGGATACTAAATTTGCATTCAGCTTACTAAAAGATACTATAATAAGAAAACTATTTAACATCTATATTCTGATGATTTTGTAGTAAATATACCGAGGTGGTTTTGAATACATAGTTATTACAGTAATCTATGGAATAATCTCTATGATATGATATGACACAACGTAATGAACATGTGAAAACTCTAGCTGGGTTTCGAAAAGCGTGATCAACTGCAGTCTCAAAACAGCCTGTTGCTGTTGGCTACACAACCATAATGTATTTGGCCTTTTGGAGTGTTACTTTACAGTAGTTTAGTTGAATTTAACAACGTTATATGTATTTGTTGTTCCACTAACCGGTAACTTGACCGACTCCTGTCGTCTGCTGAGTTTGAGGAACGCCCCTTCTAGTGTGTCACAGCCTTGGGAGGACATGAGTAGCTGAGGTGACTGTTCCGACAGCAGAACTCCGTCCCGCATTAACCCTATCTGTACAGAAACAAAATACATTATGCTGAGAAAGAAAACTTTTCCCATTTTGGTACAAACGTGTAAACCTATGTTAATTTGAATGAGTTCAGAAATTTGCAAGATTGGATTATGGGAACGGGGAACGATTATGGGAATGGGTGTTTATGGAGTAAAAATTGGGTTTGGTCATTATTGACCCCCAAAACTTTAAGTTTTGAAATTTCTTTTCAAACCATTTCGTAGAGCTTTAGTAAAAACTAATAACATTTAGTAGGCTATGTTAAAGCGTTTTTGTATGGCTAAAAGTGAGGGAGATAAATTTAAAATTCACAAGTTATTCTTTGGAGAATAATAATAAAGTCTGCTGTAGTTTGCTTGTTTATGGGTATTATGCTCTCCAATTAATTACATACCAAACTATTAATATTTCAATAAAAGCACTTAATTGCCTTCGCTGAGCAACAAACCTTTAAAGTACCTACTCATCAAACTTTGTGTTGTTTAAATAAGAAATGGACCAGAAAATTAAGGAAATATTTTAGTGAAAATCCATCTAGACAGTTGAAAATCTGCTTTATCTGCAGGTTTGCTGTGGTGGGGGTATTTTTGTTACTGTAATAGTTGATGTGGGATGTGGCATAAAATATGCTGTATGCTAATACTGTTGTCTAAAAATTAGTTGTCCTATCATATTTGATTGGTTTAAAGGTTGGTGTTTTCAACCGAAATACGTATGCCTTATTTACAGCAGACTTCATTAGTGGCTCGATTCAACTATACTTTTATTTTTACTGTAAAACAACAAGTTTAACATGGGAATGAAATGAACCAGCTCTACCCATAGTCAAACATATAACATATATGAACTAAAATAAATTAGTTCTTCTATGATATTAGGCAAAATTATATACAGTATATTAGTAGCCAATTATTCTCATTAAATATTGATTTGTTTTTTTTTCATATTGCCTCTCATAACTTCCCTCTATTGCTTGTAACCTTTTAAACATTAGTTGTAAATATACAGATACGTACCAGACAACATTTTAATATTCATGATAAACAAAGAAAAATAGTTAACGAGTTACGCCCTAAACACTTACCCTGTTTGTGATTTAAATGTGCAATTTAATAACATATTACTTTACATTTTTATCAGTTAATAGTCTATCAATAGCTACAAAAAATGAATACAAACAGGTACTGACTGTGTTGGCTTGGCGGGCCTCCTCTATGTAGTGAGTTGTGATGATGATGGTCTTTCTTTGACAGGCTGTCATCTCCAAAAGCCGCTCCCAGATTCTGCAAGAATTTCAGATTATACTACACAATTTTTGTAAAAACAAATGTCTTTGGTTAATTGATTGAATTGAATTGATAAAGTTAAACTAAGCAATTCAGTCACTGGCTGCCTGATGTGGTCGTCTTCAATTGATTACCGTAGGTTGTTTAAAGTGTTCTGCATTAATGTGGCCTTGCCCTTACTTAAGAAAAGAGATTAAGCATGAATACATTTTTTTAAACCTACACTTACTTTACTTATTGCACTAGAGTCGGGACCACATAAGTTTGCAGTTGAGGGAGGAGCCTTTTTACCATATGGGTTTGAATGAACCAATGAGAACCGTGCGATGTTGCCAAATCTAATAATACCAGCTGATTTGAAAATATTGCTTAGTATATTTTATTAGTGCGATGTGGCAACGTCGCACTAGCCTTGTCTTATGATTGGCTGCCACCAACTGCAAACTTACGTGGTCCCGACTCTAAGTAAAAGCAATTTGTGTATATTGCCACTGACAACTAGTCATGTGGTGTCCTAAGTGCTATCACCTGACACTAAATGAGGACAGCTATAAGTCATTATATGTCATTATGCTATAGTAAGTCTTTAAGTTTTCTTGATCTTAACAAAGTCTGCAGTTTCCTTTCCTCAGGTTCCATTTCAAGACAAGTATGCAGGTATGCTTTACCTAATGACAAGTTAAAAGTACTGTCATCATCCTGGGACTATTCTTTGAGTCCCTCACTCTAGTAGTAGTTCCCTAGTTATTCCTCAGCTTGCCCACATGCAGAAATTGTCAGCAATCAGCCATACCTATTCTTACACAATCTACACTTGTTGCTCATTCATTTTCTGATCACTTACGCTGCACTGAGGACAGGATCGATGCCGACGGTTGGTTCATCCAGAATCAGCAGCTGAGGGTCGTGGATCAGCGTCACAGCAAAGGACAACCTCCTCTGCTGACCTCCACTGGAAAAAGATTAATAGCATTTAAGGATTCACTTCTTTTGATTAAGGGATAGCAGGAATAAGATAAAACTGGAAAATACAAATATCCAATTAGAACATGTGTCCACACCTTAGAACCATGTCTAAACCTCACATAAAAAAGTTTTTCCTACGCTCTAAGATTGTAAACTCTTAATTTAAATTAATACAGAAGTCAAAATATCTTTTGAAAGAAAGGTTTTTTTTTAGATTTATATGTTTAGTTTTAAAGAGTTTGTTAATTATTAAAACTTGTATCATAAATAAAGGCCTTATAAGAACTAATGGGAAGATAATGTTTAACAAGGAGTTTAACTTCCAGTACATGAAGAGCATTTCCTCTTTAACTGTGTGCCTTTTAATTATTTATTCTCACTACAGAGTGGATGACCTTTACGTAGTAGAGGCCATTTAAAAAAATGTAGGAGTGTGTTTTTCTACAGTAGTTTTTGTTACATTGATGAGTGAGTATAGAATAAGGTCAGGGTTTCATATGAGTTTTACAGGCAATGAACAAATTGTGCACTCTGGATAGAAAAATCAACTTTTTCAATAAAAAAAAAAATATGTACTGTACCGTGTGTTTTTATTAGAAATCGCAGTTTATCTTTGTGTATAGACGAAGTAAAATACTGTGGGATTTGTCTGTATTTTGGTTATGTGTTATATTTTATTTGTCATTAACTTCAAAAGTATATAAAAAAACTATGATTGAAGTTGGCATTTTGATTCATGCCAATATCATAATAATGTAATTTGTGAAGTTACAGATGAAAAAAACCTAAAAACTCTTGTTCATGTAAAGTATTATTTGCACTAACCTGAGAGATCCAATTAGTCTGTTTGATTCTGGAAGTTCTAAAAATTCCAAAAGTTCTTTTCCTCTAGATTTTACGTGAGATTTTTCCAGACCATATAGTTTCCCATAAAACTGGAACACCTCCATGATGGTCATATAATCATACAGCCCCAACTCCTGTGCATATTATAACACATACAATTATGGTGAACTGATCATATGTTTGCTTTATTGTTAAAAAAACTTACACATGAAAATCTTGAATGCAAACTGTGTGATGGAAAATTAACTTAAGTATGGTAGTTTTTCTAAATAGTGATGGGGTTTCAAACTTTTTTTAAATTACGTGAAAAGCTCACTAGTGAGGATTGTGTAAAAACTTAACAATAGACAACTAATTGCCACTATTATCTACATAAAAAATAATTAACACAGCAACAAGCTTAAAATACATGAGCAAGCTTCATCAACACTGGAAAAAGAAGACACAGTTTGATATCTTGACATCTCATTAATCAATTAATTTATGAGAATCTATCACAATAATTAATCTAAAAAATACTATGATTTGTATTAAATTTCCTTTTTTATGTACAGTATTGTAATAAGGCTGGCATGATTACAAATTATAAAGAATGAACTACAGTAATGTATATGAAAGAATGAGTAAAGAATGTAGAAGATGTTTTTGATACAAGAGGAGAACTTTATGAGTTGTTTCAAACGTTTAACTGTTTTCAATAACGAAGGTTTGCCTATATCATGTGATTAATCAACTTACATACTACTTTCAGATTGATGTAAAATATTCCAAAAGATACTACAAAGAAACTATAAAACAAATTAAATCTTCAAATGTAGCATTACTAGATGATTTCAACATGAAATTATCACCTGTGGCATGTATCCAACATTGTTTTTTCTTGCAGCTTTGACAAATATGTGACCTGCGTCCAAACGGGTCATCCCTACGATACATCGCAGCAACGTCGTCTTGCCACATCCGCTAGGGCCCAGCAAGCCATAGCTGGAAAGTCACAAAATTTAGTCACATATTATTTGATCTCCTAAAGAGTATTTCCTGCATGTGACACACTTTTGTTGTTGGATAGAAGATTATGGATGATGATCCCATCCCAACAAGTTAATCAGCTTTTATTTGGCAAGAATGGATTACAAAGGGAAACAAAAAGGGCGTTATTTTGCGAATTTGATTGATACCATAGAGGTTTTATAGACTTTTTCTCGTGAAGACTGCAGACACATTTCAAAAGGTAAAACCTTAAGCTTTGTACAAAAAGTAAAGCCATCTACATTTATGTGAAAACTTTTAAAATTGACTTAGTGAAGAAAATCTCCTTAACTCTTTGATCAGACTCAATAATGATGTAACCAAACTAGCACTAATAACTAACCATCTGAGTATAACACAACTGCAACTGCTAAATCTACAATTAACATGACCTCTGCTCTGCTACCTTTCAATCAAGCTACGTTTAGGATTCAGCTGATGACCGAGTGGTCTAGGCAATGTCTCTTCAGCCAGAAGAGAACGCCATATATTGGGGATTTGAATCCTATTTTGGTAAGGTCTTGTACGCATAGCTCAAAAGTTTAGCTATGGCAGAACTTGATGGGAGAGGCCCACCTAATAAAGGATGAATGACTCGCGAGGAAGTTGGCAAGGTGAGTGGATTCTTGAGTTGCAACTCGATATTTAGACATTCCGCTACTTTTTCTAAGGTGAAAAAACTTGATAACAAGAGAAACACTCACATTGTTGCCTCTGGTACAGTCAGGTTCAGTCCTCTAAGGATGACAGCGGTGGGTGTGTAGCGCTTGAACGCCCCTCGGACCTCGATGGCCGCCACCCCCTCCCCTCCTGCTCCACGACCCAGCATCATATTACCAGCTGAGTCTCATCTGAAACAAGTAATCAGTTATACCACAACACAGTATGTAAATACTTTGGTAATATGCAAGAGCACCAGTTCAGGAGTCGTAAGTATAGTGCCGTCACTACTGGATTCATCCAGTATCATTTAAGTGCAATACAATACACAAAGTCTTGATCTAATAAAGAAACCACGTAGTATACAAATGAGTGATAGTAGGATAAAGATTCATTTACAGATATAACAGGCGACTTCTTAAGATTTTATGGCTATGTACAAATGTAACACAACTCTATGCAAACAGTTTTGAGCTCCCCACCAGTCGACACTACCGACTACCAGCAACTACCCTCATCCACCATCAGCACCAGCACCTCTACACTATTAGCAGAAAGTTCTCCCAAGTGCAGTGTAACCTGTGATGATAAGAAGGAAAGTGAAAGTGTAATGGAAAAAGGTAGAGAAATGTCAAAATCTTTTTTAGATTAATTCAAGTCAACGTATGTTGTTTAAGAAATAACATTTTACAGTTAGAATATTTATGTAAAGAAAAAGATTTGAATGTAATTTGCTTGTGTGAACACTGGCTGAAAGGTGATCAGATTAATTTATTTGTTCCTAAAGATTTTGTTCCAGCCAGTGTTATATGTAGGGAATCTAAACTTAATGGCGGAGTGGGTGTTTATATTAAAAATTGTCTGAATTTTTCCGTTATTGATGTTACCTACTGAATTTTATATTGAGTCTGATTTTGAAATTTGCTGCATAAAACTTACGGATGAAAACGTTTTGATTGTTAGTATTTATAGAGCTCCAAGTGGAGATGTGAATAATTTTTTTGACTGTTTTGAGCGTTGTATTAAAAAACTATTAGGCCTACTTAAGAACCCCATAATAATTATTGCGGGTGATTTTAACATTGAAATTGGGAAAAATAATAATGACTTAAATAGCAGTTTCACTAGATTTAGTAATATTTTGAGATCACTTGACCTTTTTTTAACAAATAGACAACCCACATGTATTAATTCCTGCATAGATATCATTATTGTAAATTTCAATAAGAATTTATATCAGACTACACTTGGGGATAGCTATTTTGCTGACCATATTCCTCTATTTTTTGAAATGTGTACAACTAAGTATCCACAAAGAAATGAAAACAAGGTGTGTTCCAGTGATTTGTATTTTAGAAAACAAAATGACGAAAATATTGATTTATTTATAACTTACCTAAAACAAGAAAACTGGGATATGATTGGTGATTTTAAACAAAATAAAATAAATGTTGAAAACCTATTTGACGAATTTTTTAAAAGATATATAGATTTGTGGCATTCTTGTTCACCATTAATAAAAATTAAAAAAAACAAACAAAATATAAAAACCAATAAATTAATCAACTGGTACACAATGGAATTAGAAAAGACAAGAAATGAAATGTTACTGTTATTTTCTATTTATAAGAATCTTCTTTCAATAAGATCAGAACAATCTCAGGCAGCTTACAATGCATATATTCAAATTAAAAGAAGGTACAGAAAAGAATTGGCAGGAGCAAAAAAATTGGCAGTTGAAAAATATATTAACTAATAAGGAGTTGTCATCAACATATGATTTCTTAACACAAATGGTTTATGTTATTGTTTCTAATGTTTATGTTTGTATTGAATTGTTTATTAGTAGTATTTGAGATCACTTGATTAATTTCGGCTTTATGTTTTGAAAGTGTTATCATTGTATTTTCAGTTTTAGATAGTTCCATTATCTTAGCAGTATTTATGACTTCCTGGAAGGTCTTGTCTGATTCTACTTGTAGTAGTTTCGTTCTTATCTCAGCGTCTCGCAATCCCCTAATGTACTGTAAACGTAGCATAGTTTCAGCTGTAGACTTTCCACAAGAACATTTGAATTCACAAGGAGTAACAAGTTTCTTTAGTTCAACTGTAAAATCTGTAACGGATTCACCTACCATTTGCTCTCGTACTATAAAATTATGTTGCCGTGCCCAAACGCTTGGTTGAGGATCCAAGTATTGCTTTAGTAAAGCTATAAGGTCATCATAATCTTTCTGAAGTGGCGTTTCAGGTGTACAAATGTTGTAGAGCTTTTGATGTAACTTGGGAGGTAGGGCATTAAGTAGGGTGAATGTCTTTGTAGTTTCGTCTGATATGTGTTTCAGGTGCATAAATACTTCAAGTCTTTTTGTAAAATTGTCAAAAGATTCATCTTCACTGTAAGGTACAAATGAAATATGGAATGTTGAAGCTGTATTGCCAGTAGAGTTGCTTGCATTACCATTGATTTCTTGAGTTGAATTCGAAAGTGAAATAGGTTTCAACTGCCTCAACATAATCTTCAACTTAATGAATACTTCTTCAATGTCCATCTTGTAATTTACTTCTTCATCCAGGTCTGTGTGGTTTATTATTAGTTCTATGTTCTCTTGTACTTCAAGAAATTTAGTCCATGTTGAGTCCAGAAGTTCTAGACGTTCGTCAACTTGCCCAGGATCGATTTCCTGATTGTTCAGCTTGTTTGTTAATTTAGTAAATTGTGCCTTGATTGATTTTCTAATCCTTTTGTAACTTGTAATGTTAGTTGACTCCATTTTGGTTTTCCTTGTCGCCAGTTATCAAGTCCTTAAATTATATAATAACAAGATACAAGAGAATGTACAACCCATTTTATTCAACTATTTTAACTGAATGAAAAAAATATAAACACAAACATAAACATTAGAAACAATTTTCACTTCAAAATAAATCACATCCTAATGTCACTAAGGAATGCCACAAATGCTACAGGGTCCTCGGCATATGAACTTATATGTTTGGGAGACGAATAAGGACAAGGCTGGATCTTATGAAGAAACCCCAAGATCACACAGAAATGCCCGACGGATGTACTAAAATCAAAAGAGAGTTTCGGGTGGGGGACAGGGTTCAGGTGCGCAATTTCGGAAAAGACGGAAAGTGGAAATTTGGAAATGTAAGAAAGAGAGAAGGATTGGTGCATTATCAAATCGAGATGGACAATGGGCAGGTTTGGAGAAGACACATTAACCACATTCGGCCGTGTAAATTTGAGGGGAAGGATTAATAAGGAGTTGTCATGAACATATGATTTCTTAACACACATGGTTTATGTTATTGTTTCTAATGTTTATGTTTGTGTTTATATTTTTTTCATTCAGTTAAAATAGTTGAATAAAATGGGTTGTACATTCTCTTGTATCTTGTTATTATATAATTTAAGGACTTGATATTAACAATGCCCCAAACAAGTGCAGAGCCGCTTGGAAGGTAATTAGAGACGAAAATTACCCCTCTTTTACCCCGGATGTCAGCCTGGATCCAGATGAATTTAATACATATTTTCAAAACTCAATAAAAGAGTTAAGTGACGGAATTCCTGCTACACCTTTTAGTATGGAACACTTTTTGGGAGATAAATCTATCTATCAAGATTCATTCATGTGGCAAAAAGTCTCACCGATGGACATTATAAAAGTTGTGTCTAAATTTTCAAACTCTAAGGCTATGGATTTTTATTGGTTATCAAATCATATAATCAAACAAGCAATTGAATTTATAAGTAAACCTCCTTGCTTTTATCTTAAATAACTGCATGCAGGAAGGTTATTTTGCTCAATCACTTAAGGTTTCAAAAGTCACACCAATATTTAAGAAAGGTGACAAAAATATGGTTCAAAATTACCGCCCAGTTTCAATTGTTCCAATTTTATCAAAAATATATGAATCAATTATGTATAATCAACTCAATTACTTTTTTGAATCACATAATATAATTACAAACTGTCAACATGGCTTTCGTAAAAATAAATCAACAACATCAGCAATAATAAATTTAGTAGATTATTCTTTAGATGCTTTTGAGGCGAAAAAATCTGTTTCTCTAGTGCTGTGTGACCTCAGTAAAGCATTTGACAGTGTCCCATTTGATATTCTCCTAAAAATACTTCAGTTTTAGGGTGTGGCGCAAAGCTCCTTGAAACTGATTGAGTCATACCTCTCAAAGAGATTACAATATGTTTCCGTTAGAAATAATTGTTCCAAGATGATTGAAGTGGTATCTGGAGTCCCACAAGGATCAATTCTTGGTCCTTTTTTCTTTACAGTTTATATTAATGATTTGCCCAAAAACTTAAATACCTATTCCATTATTTATGCTGATGATACAACATTACTTTCCAATCATGAAAACTTGATTTATTTACAAGAAATGTCCCGACAAGCAGAGACAATGGCTTATGATTGGTTCTCGACAAATAAACTATCTTGTAATTTGGAAAAAACACAATATATAACATTGAGTTTAAAAAGAGAAGTCAATATGGAATCGGTCAAGCTTTTAGGAATACATACGGTATTGACTCAAAATTAAACTGGTCTGATCACATCAAATCTGTTAGTAGCAAAATTTCAAGAGTGACTTGCCTGCTTTGGAAACTCAAAAGTTTTGTTAGTCCTGATTATTTGAGACTAGCATACTTTGGCCTCTTTCAGGCACATGTAATATATGGATTGCTTGCATGGGGTCACTCACCACATGTTAATGACATCCTATTGCTTCAAAAAAAAGCTATTCGTAATATGGCAGGAGTCGATCACGTAGCACACTGTAAGCAACTTTTTGTAGAGTTCAAAATTCCTACAGTATTCAATCTATACATCTTTCAAGTTCTGGTTTATGCTAAAACAAACTTAAATATGTTTCGTACTAGGCAAAATATTCATAATCATAATACCAGGGGGAGGGGGAATTTGGATATAGTAACACATAGGCTTACAAAAACTAAAACTTCTTTTAAACTAAATTGCATTTACTTTTTTAATAAGCTGCCTGAGAATGCAAGAGAGGTTAGTTTAAACAGGTTTAAATCTGTATTGTACACCTGGCTGGTAGAAAATCCCTTTTATAAACTTGAGGAGTTTTTTAATACACAAGTTTGTATTTCTTTTTAATACATTTAATGTCTTGTTTTATTTTTATTTGCTATATGTT